ATTTTTGTTGAAATCAAACAAAGTTTAATTTTGGACCCCGATTTGGACCAACTTGAAAACTGGGCCCATAATCAAAAATCTAAATACATGTTTAGATTCAGCATATCAAAGAACCCTAAGAACTCAATTTTAGTTAAAATCAAAATAGTTTAATTTTGGACCCTTTGGACCTTAATGTAGACCAATTTGAAAACAGAACCAAAAATTAAGAATCTAAATACACGGTTAGATTTGGCATATCAAAGAACCCCAATAATTCAATTTTTGATGAAATCAAACAAAGTTTAATTTTGGACCTTTTGGACCTCAATGTGGACCAATTTAAAAACGGGGCCCAAAATCCAAAAACTAAATACACGGTTAGATTCAGCATATTAAAGAACCCCAAGAATTCAAGAATAAAACCCCATTGAAATTGGTCAAGAAATAAGCAATTTATATGAAGTATCTTCTTTTGCACAATACTGTGCAATTAAATATTTCTTGCTATTGCGCAATACTGTACAATTGACAATTTCTTGCTATTGCGCAATATTTTGCTATTGGATATTTCTTGCTATTGCGCAATACTGTGCAATTGAAGATTTCTTGCTATTGCACAATACTGTGCAATTGAAGATTTCTTGCTGTTGTGCAATACTGTGCAATTGAAGATTTCTTGCTATTGCACAATACTTATTATATAATAATTTACACATCCTGTTTGGTGTGTATCTCCTACCATATCATTATTATTTGCTTTTAAATATAAATCAGAAATAACCAACTTAAAATGGAAAATTTTAAAAGAAAAAAAAAAGGAAAAAAAAAATCCCCCCCCAAATTTTTTGAACCCCCTTATGATTCATCAACCCCAAACTCAATCCCAGCCTTCCCTTTGTGGTATGGTACCTTGCAGTACAATTTCAGAGAGATCCATACACTTGAACACAAGTTATTGTCTGGAAACTAGAAAAATGTGTTTTTTGGCCCCTTTTTGGCCCCAAATTCCTTAACATTTAGGGCAATTACCCCCTAACTCAAACCCAGCTTCCCCTTTGTGATATGGAACCTTGTAGTACAATTTCAGAAAGATCCATACACTTACACACAAGTTATTGTCCTGAAACTAGAAAAATGCTTGTTTCTTGCCCCTTTTTGGCCCCTAATTCCTAAAATATTGAGGCAATTACCCCCATCATCAATCCACGCCTTCCCTTTGTGGTATGGTACCTTGCAGTACAATTTCAGAGAGATCCATACACTTGAACACAAGTTATTGTCTGGAAACTAAAAAAATGCTTATTTTTGGCCCCCAATTCCTAAATGTTTCGGCAATTACCCCCAAACTCAATTCCAGCTTTCCCTTTGTGATATGGAACCTTGTAGTACAATTTCAGAAAGATCCATACACTTACACACAAGTTATTGTCATAAAACTAGAAAAATGCTTGTTTTTTGCCCCTTTTTTGGCCCCTAATTCCTAAAATTTTGAGGCAATTACCCCCAAAATCAATCCCAGCATTCCTTTAGTGATATGGAACCTTGTGGTACAATGTCAGAGAGATCCATACACTAACACACAAGTTATGTCTGGAAGTTACAAAAATGCTTATTTTTGGCCCCTAATTCCTTTACTGTTTGTCCCATAACCCCCAAAATCAATCCCAACCTTCCTTTTGTGGTATTGAACCTTGTGGTAAAATTTCATAGAGATCCATTCACTTAAACTAAAGTTAGAGTGTGAAAACCAATGTGTCTTCGGACGACGCAGGACGACGACGACAAAGACAACGACGACGCCAACGTCATACCAATATACGACCACAAAAAATTTTTTGCGGTCGTATAAAAAAGTGTATATTTCACTGTACTTACAAGTATGATTCTAATTAATATCATGGATATTGTTCCTGTGATTTTGTAATTTCAATTTCAATGAATATACAATAACTTCTTCCAAACCGGACAATATTTACGATCACCTTAAAGTTTATGTACAATGTTAAAACTTGTACTGTTCTTTTGTTCATGTTGATGTTTTTTTTACAATTAGGTACTAGCCAATTTTCACAAATTTAAAGTTGTTTATAAAAAAATTATATCATGAATGATGGTTATTTACATTTTTTGGGTTATCAGTCATACCGCATGTTGCTATTATTACCATTGGAAAACACCTGAGACGTTCCAAAAATATATAGGTGCTCCTATCATTGGAGTAAACACTACACAGTTGTGTACTCACACATGGCGGCACGAAATACGATCGGAAATCCATTTGACGATATCTCAACGTTTGAAAACGAAGTGAAAAATATCATGCACCACGCGGGCACTTACATTTGTCACTCTATGCGCCATTTCTGGTCGATAAGCGCAATTGGTGCAAGGCGCACGTCCTTCCCGATCACTGAAATTGTATTGCCCATGGTTCTGAATCAACTGCTTTAACTACCCTTAACATTCATGTAGACAAACTAGTTAATTTGATTATAATCTGGTTCCCCTATTAAGCAACTTTTTATGTTTAATGGATATTGATATCTTTTATCATGTTTATTGTGAAAGATTGATAAGAAAATAAAGACAAACAAATGCTTAGAATCTTAGTATAAATGTATCAAAATATCTGTAAAAAATATACGATGGCATACATTTAAATGCTGAATTTACAGTGTTATAGTGTAATAATTTGCTTGAATTTATTAAATAATAACTCAGATAATAAAGCTTTTATTTTTTTTATCTAAATTGAATTAAATAAAATATAGAAATTTGATAAAATTATTAGCAATTATTTATATAATTAACAACTGTTTGAATAAGATGAGTTAATTACAATAATTTTTGTTTATTTGTACAAGTATAGTAATTATTTTTAACTGGTTGTTGATAAAAAACTGCTTACAAAATAACTTGATAATTATGTGTACACCAGCAAATAGTGGGTAATTGTTTATGAAATAAATATTATATGTGTGTAGACTTGCTATAGATTACTGTAAACAAATGCTTTGGGTTATCAGCAGGAAGCTGATAAGGACCGCATTAAGCTATGCGCCATCTGGATTGATGAGGAGATAAATCTGACTTTGGTTTCTCATTATCCTCTATAATCTTTTTGAGTTCATTTAATCTCCCTTTGATCTTCAATATCTAATTTTGCTTAAAATTCATTTTTCATTATATACCTTAAAGTATAGTGAACAATACAACTACAATACTGGTATATCAGTAATGTACCAGTATTGTTGTTTTTAAGGATGTTCGCTACTCTGTTTCAAAATAACAAGCTTTTTGAAAGACTATAATGAATTGATAGTATATACATAAAGGAACTTAAAAAGCAGATAAAAATTAAGGGTCCGTGTGCTTGTTTTCGAGATATAAGCCATTGAAAATTTGGCGGGAAATGATTCTCTCTAGATTTTTCATACATTTAACATTGGCACATTTTTTTCTTTCAAAAACTCTGAAAAAATAATGTAGTATTCGTAGGGTTAGTTTTAGGTCATCAGACAGACCATCTAGAGATGTCCGAAGAACTACCCAGAAATCCCTGTCTTCCGGTAATGAACTAATGGCTATACAGACGACATATTCTTCTGAAGAGCAATCCGGCCGTTCTTGACTGCAGGAACGACCATCCAAGGTATCTATTGGTATTTAGATATACTCGGAATCACAACATTGGCGCTGCGAGCACTAATTTGCGTGGTGATTTGCAAGTTAGGGCTCATTTTGTGAGTTGAGGCGAGGTTCGCTTCAACAGAATTTCCCGCGGTAAAGGATTCGGGGGAAACCTTTGCCGATCGTTTTTTGTTGTGTAATACTCTGGGAGAGCATATTACATAACATCACAGGGGTTTTGCAGCGCGGTAGAACCCCTGTTTTTTGTGTAGTATTGAGTATTTGTTGTTTTTTCGTATTTTCAAGACGACTTGGATCACGTGACCTGGGAGGAACGGGGAACCAGTCGTGTTGTCGGGCAGTGTAAGGACTTTAAGGGATATTTTTTATGTTTTTGCCGTGCCGGTGGTGGACGGCAAAAATAGTAAGACAGGAGGGAAAAGGGTGTTTTTGGTTTATTCCAGCGAGGGAATAAATCATTTCAGGCATTTGTGGAGTATTCTGGAGGAATACTTCACGGTAGTTTAGGGGGAAAGATTGTGGCAGGAGACGACAGGTCATTACCTTGCTTGACCCAGAAGGGACAGCTGGGTACCAGTCACCGGTAACCGCAGACCAGAAGGACGGGTTACCAGTCGACTTGTTATTGTTTTGTTTACTTCTGTTAACCGCAGACCAGAAGGACGGGTTACCAGTCGTTGTGTTGTTGTTTTGTTTACTTCTGTTAACCGCAGACCAGAAGGACGGGTTACCAGTCGTTGTGTTATTGTTTTGTTTACTTCTGTTAACCGCAGACCAGAAGGACGGGTTACCAGTCGTTGTGTTATTGTTTAATTTACTTCTGTTAACCGCAGACCAGAAGGACGGGTTACCCGAACCAGAAGTTTTTGTGTTATTAAATAAATAACTTGTGGTATTCTAAGTGTGTTGTTTGTTGTTGTTTATTCTTTAAATTAATAAACTTTGTTATAAATTGTTGTTCAGTGATTTACAGTTACAAATGTCGGTTGTAAACCTAAACACTTGTAGCTTTCAAGAGTTAATCCAGCTCCCAGGTATAGGCATAAAAACTGGGGAGCAAATAATGGACATTAGGGAGAGCAGGGGCTTTGTGACCGAGTCAGACTTGGCCACAATCTCCCACCTACGAGTAACAAGGGGCCTCTTATCCAGTGGACTTCAGCCCAAATAGAGGTGGCCAAAATATTGGGCCACCACCTCAGTCCCAAGGCAGGCATGGTGAGATGTTAGACAGGGAAAACAAACTCATAGACTGGGGACACATTGCCCCACAGGGAACACCATCCCAAGTACAAAACAAATCTGCATTTAGGCAAGAAGCATGGCACCAGGGGCAAAGTCCCGGGCCCGCGGAAGGGCCCAGCCAGATGGACTCTGCCTTCCTTGAATATAGTCCATATCCCGGGGATGCTAAAGCTAGACCCGAACCCACAGGGAATTGGGACGGGGGCTACAGGGAACAGTTGCAGAAAAAAGAGTGGAGTCACCATATTGGTGACCCAAAAAAGTGTTATCCCCCTCACCACAGAGGTATTATTAGGAACAAGCCGTATTGGCCAGGTAAAGACAGTGCGTGGGACAAAAACAAACTGACCTATGGGGAAATACCTTCATACCCCATGGGTCACATAAGCAACTATGCAGGTCAGGGGTCAGCACCCTGTAACCAACCAGCTCACACTGGTGGGGTACAGTATGAGACACCCTGCAGTAGGTATGGCAAATGGCAAGACAATAGGGGCGAAGACACAAGGCAGGCCCCATCACAAATCTATAAAGAGAGGCAAGACAATAGGGGTGAGGACACAAGGCAGACCCCATCCCGTGCCTATGGGGATAGGCAACCCCAGAACCAGTATAATCAAGGGTATATGCCAGTGCCCCCACAAGGGGTCACCGCAGGGGGGAGCTATGGGCAACAGGCCTACCAAGTACCATATATTGAGGATAGACCTAGGGAAAACACAAGGGGACCCGACAGCAGAGGTGGGGCACAAGGAACTTCAGGTGGCGTCTCTTAAGTTACCAATGCCCCAAAAAATATTAAGTATGACGGGAAGGGCAACTGGCAGGCCTTTTTCACAAAATTTGCAAGGTATGCAGAGGTTTGTGAATGGGGTCCACAAGAATGCAAGGACCAACTTTGCTGGTGTCTTGAGGGAAAAGCCAGTGAGTATTATGCCCTCATAACAGAAAGAGACCAGAAGGTCAGTTATAGGGAGCTTGTGGAGAAGCTACACAAGCGTTTTGGTTTCAAGGCGCTCCCCGAGACTGCCCGGGTCCAGTTTAACAATGCCTGGCAAGCCCCTGAGGAGTCTGTTGAGGACTGGGCTGATCGGGTGTTGTCCTTAGCGACCAGGGCATTTAGAAACCTTCCTGACGATTACATGTACGAGCAAGCCATAACACGGCTGTGCCAGGGTATTGAAAACAAACAGTTGGGGGTGCAAGTCTCTAACCTTCAGCCCCAAAGTATTGAGGAGGCCATAGATAAAATACGGCTATTCCAACATAACACCCAGGCAATATATGGCAAGCCAAATCGGCGTGAGGTTAGGCAGGTAACTGATGGGCAGTATGAAGACCACCCTGAGGCCTTCCATGAGTATCAGGGGCCCCATGTAAGGGCTACCATGGCCCTTGAGAGGGCCCCAGTCAGTACATGGAAAGTGGAGTTAGAAAAGTCTGATAAGAAGTTTGAAAACAAACTTGGTCAAGTCCATGAAAAATTAGACGACATGATGGACCAATTCAAGCAACTCCTCACAAGCCCCATTGCAGGAAGCTGCTCACCTGGCAGACAGACAGGGACAGAAAGTTGCCACCACTGTGGGGAGAGGGGCCATTTCAAAATGGAATGCCCAAACTTTGGAGGTAAGTCCGTCCCAGGGAGTCCCTCCACTGATAGAGGGCCTCCATGGGAGGGAGTGTGCTACCACTGTTTTAAGCCTGGACATGTAAGGAAGGACTGTCTAGATTTCCAGGGGAGGGATAAAACTGTTACCTTCATAAATCAGTCAAGCAGAACTGCAACTGGACCATTAAACTTCAACGGGACTACTCAGGAGGCCGGAGTGAGTCCCCGCAAATGAAGTTAGGCCTCTCAGAAGTTGCGTCTGTACCCCAAGCCAGAGTAGCGGAGGTAGCTATAGTGGGCCCAGGGGTAGGTGCCCGGGACATGGAGGGGAACAGAGAACCGAGTGTGTCGGTGAAGGTTAGAGCAGAGATTGAGTCAGAGCAGTGCTCCAATTCTGACAAAGAGGCAACTCCTTCAGGCGGATTGGACTGCTACTTATTTAAATGTCTTGCGGACATATTGAGGCATGGTGCACTGGAGTTGGTCCAAAGCCTCCTCCCAGGTGGGTATTTGTTGGTGGAGGAAATCCTTAAAAGACACCCAGGCTTTGCCGGGTACTCTTTACCGGATATTCATAAACTGATCAAGGTTGATGAGGACAGGAGGTTCACTTTAATAAAGGACACAGACAGTGGTTGTTGGAAAATAAGGGCCAACCAGGGGTATTCCTTGATGGTGGATACCCCAGCCATACCATTAGTAGAGAAATGTGAGGTGCCCCAAAGCAACTCAGTTGCTCCAGCATTGCTCACAGGGGACCTGGAGGGTCCAGTAGCCAATATTATGAAGGAACCCATAGGAGCTATCTTGGCAATTGAGAATAGCAGTAGCATTCACAAGGTTGCTGCCCAAACAGAGACAACTTTGGCAAGTGATGAGGAGGCCCAAGAAAGTTGGGACTCCACCTCAGACGATGAGGTAGAAGGGGCCAGTGATGAGAAGATAGTCACAGTTTGTCCGCAATACCAGGATTCGACATGTCCTACTCCTATTGTTGACGGAGGAATGACTGACAATACTGAAAACAGTCATACATCTCTCACTTTTGAGGACCCTTCATCAAAGGGAGAAACTGACAGAAAGGCCGCAACTGAAAGCAACAGTCCGTTCAACAAAGAAAAAGTTATTACTGTAGAATCTTTATTAGACAAAGAATCTGCATACTTTAATCCAGACAATCCAAGTTTGAGTTTGGGGTCACTTTTGAAAGCAGATAATGTGGGCACTAATTATTTTAATCTGCAGCCGCCCCCAGTAGACAGTGGGACACCAGTCTTACGTGTGACCATTGCCACAGTTAGATTGGGTCCCACCAGAAGACAGTGGGACCCTGGAATTCCCTACCTTAACAAAGATATATTTACAGTGCAAGGGAGGAATAAAATGCTTCGCTGGGCGCAGCTTGATACGACCGCAGAGGTCGAACCCTGAACAGTTGGGGCAAGTATGGACACAACATTCAAGCTTGATACAGCTCTGAATTTGGATTGTGATTAAATATTTGACACAGCATAGGTTTCTGACACAGAAAGAATGTGGTCTAAGAACTTTAATTTTTTTTAATTTACCTATTATGGTCCAATGTCCAAAATCAAAATACATGGTTAGATTCAGCATATCAAAGAACCCCATATATTCAATTTTTGTTGAAATCAAACAAAGTTTAATTTTGGACCCCAATTTGGACCAACTTGAAAACTGGGCCAAAAATCTAAAATCTAAATACATGTTTAGATTCAGCATATCAAAGAACCCCATATATTCAATTTTTGTTGAAATCAAACAAAGTTTAATTTTGGACCCCAACTTGGACCAACTTGAAAACTGGTCCCATAATCAAAAATCTAAACACATGTTTAGATTCAGCATATCAAAGAACCCCAAAATTTCAATTTTTGTTAAAATCAAACTAAGTTTAATTTTGGACCCTTTGGACCTTAATGTAGACCAATTTAAAAAACGGGACCCAAAATTAAAAATCTAAATACACGGTTAGATTTGGCATATCAAGGAACCCCAATAATTAATCTTTTGATGAAATCAAACAAAGTTTAATTTTGGACCCTTTTGACCTCAATATGAACCAATTTGATAGCGGGCCCACAAATAAAAAATCTAAATACATGGTAAGATTCAGCATATCAAAGAACCCCATATATTCAATTTTTGTTGAAATCAAACAAAGTTTAATTTTGGACCCCAATTTGGACCAACTTGAAAACTGGGCCAAAAATCTAAAATCTAAATACATGTTTAGATTCAGCATATCAAAGAACCCCATATATTCAATTTTTGTTGAAATCAAACAAAGTTTAATTTTGGACCCCAACTTGGACCAACTTGAAAACTGGGCCCATAATCAAAAATCTAAACACATGTTTAGATTCAGCATATCAAAGAACCCCAAGAATTCAATTTTTGTTAAAATCAAACTAAGTTTAATTTTGGACCCTTTGGACCTTAATGTAGACCAATTTAAAAACGGGACCCAAAATTAAAAATCTAAATACACGGTTAGATTTGGCATATCAAAGAACCCCAATAATTCAATTTTTTATGAAATCAAACAAAGTTTAATTTTGGACCCTTTTGACCTCAATATGAACCAATTTGATAGCGGGTCCACAAATAAAAAATCTAAATACATGGTTAGATTCAGCATATCAAAGAACCCCAAGAATTCAATTTTTGATGAAATCAAACAAAGTTTAATTTTGGACCCTTTTGACCTCAATGTGGACAAAGTTGATAACGGGGCCCAAAAATCAAAAATCTAAATACATGGTTAGATTCAGCATATCAAAGAACCCCATATATTCAATTTTTGTTGAAATCAAACAAAGTTTAATTTTGGACCCCGATTTGGACCAACTTGAAAACTGGGCCCATAATCAAAAATCTAAATACATGTTTAGATTCAGCATATCAAAGAACCCTAAAAATTCAATTTTTGTTAAAATCAAACTAAGTTTAATTTTGGACCCTTTTGACCTTAATGTAGACCAATTTGAAAACGGAACCAAAAATTAAGAATCTAAATACACGGTTAGATTCGGCATATCAAAGAACCCCAATAATTCAATTTTTGAAGAAATCAAACAAAGTTAAATTTTGGTCCCTTTTGACCTCAATATGGACCAATTTAAAAACGGGGCCCAAAATCCAAAAACTTAATACTTGGTTAGATTCAGCATATTAAAGAACCCCAAGAATTCAAGAATAAAACCCCATTGAAATTGATCAAGAAATAAGCAATTTATACGAAGTATCTTCTTTTGCACAATACTGTGCAATTGAATATTTCTTGCTATTGTGCAATACTGTACAATTGACAATTTCTTGCTATTGCGCAATATTGTGCTATTGGATATTTCTTGCTATTGCGCAATACTGTGCAATTGAAGATTTCTTGCTATTGCGCAATACAGTGCAATTGAAGATTTCTTGCAATTGTGCAATACTGTGCAATTGAAAATTTCTTGCTATTGCACAATACTTATTATATAATAATTTACACATCCTGTTTGGTGTGTATCTCCTACCATATCATTATTATTTGCTTTTAAATATTAATCAGAAATAACCAACTTAAAATGGGAAATTTTAAAAGAAAAAAAAAAGGAAAAAAAGAAAAAAAAATTAAAAAAAAAATCCCCCCCCCCCCAAATTTTTGGAACCCCCTTATGATTCATCACCCCCAAACTCAATCCCAGCCTTCCCTTTGTGGTATGGTACCTTGCAGTACAATTTCAGAGAGATCCATACACTTGAACACAAGTTATTGTCTGGAAACTAGAAAAATGCTTATTTTTGGCCCCTTTTTGGCCCCCTATTCCTAAACGTTTCGGGCAATTACCCACAAACTCAATTCCAGCTTTCCCTTTGTGATATGGAACCTTGTAGTACAATTTCAGAAATATCCAAACACTTACACACAAGTTATTGTCATGAAACTAGAAAAATGCTTGTTTTTTGCCCCTTTTTTGGCCCCTAATTCCTAAAATTTTGAGGCAATTACCCCCAAAATCAATTACAGCCTTCCCTTTGTGATATGGAACCTTGTGGTACAATGTCAGAGAGATCCATACACTTACACACAAGTTATTGTCTGGAAGTTACAAAAATGCTTATTTTTGGCCCCTTTTTGGCCCCTAATTCCTTAACTGTTGGTACCATAACCCCCAAAATCAATCCCAACCTTCCTTTCATGGTATTGAACCTTATGGTAAAATTTTATGGAGATCCATTCACTTAAACTAAAGTTAGAGTGCGAAAACCAATGTGTCTTCGGACGACGCCGGACGACGCCAGACGACGACGACGACGACGACGACGACGACGACGCCAACGTCATACCAATATACGACCAAAAAATTTTCAATTTTTGCGGTCGTATAAAAATGAGACCAAACTCTTCACAATGGAGACGGGATCAGCACAACCTCCTGGGTCCAACTATATAGAAGACTTGCAGCCACTTAGTGTCCAGGGCATAGTTTGTATAAAGGAAGGGGAGAGTTGGCATACGATTCAGAGAACAATTCACAGTTGGCTGGGTTCCCAATTTGTTGGGAACCCATTGCACTAACTTTTTAGTGTATCAGTAGACCCGTGAATAGGGTCTGTTTGGGGGGTAGGTTGTATACTTTTTTTAAATTGTTGGGGGGATAGGGTGTATACTGTGTATTATAAATTGATGCATATTTTCTCTAAATTGGGTATGATTCCCGTATTTTGTTAATTTTTGGCGAAATTCACAGGGCCCACCTCAGTAGAGGGGGCCTTATTAATAAAACTGGGGGGAGTGTAGTATTCGTAGGGTTAGTTTTAGGTCATCAGACAGACCATCTAGAGATGTCCGAAGAACTACCCAGAAATCCCTGTCTTCCGGTAATGAACTAATGGCTATACAGACGACATATTCTTCTGAAGAGCAATCCGGCCGTTCTTGACTGCAGGAACGACCATCCAAGGTATCTATTGGTATTTAGATATACTCGGAATCACAACAATAACAAGGATTTTATAAGATTTTGAAATATGACTTTTTAAACTTTTTGTAATGATATTATGAAAAGAAAAGTAGAGGTTAGTGGGCAAAAGTTTTTAATGGCACTACATGGATAAAACCAGAGGATTCCGAATATCTGGCAAAAATTCTATAACAAGAGAAGCGAACATCCTTAAAAAAAAAGTTACAATACTAGTACAAAATTTGTATACCAGTATTGTGGACAATACTGGTATA